TTTGCTTTGTGGCTGGCCGCAGTGATGCTGCTTTCGTGTTTTTTCTTCTGTTTTTTTTCGTTGTTACTTGTGCTTGCGTTGCAATGAACAGTTTTGCTTTACAATCACCTCGTAGGATCCTACAAATGTTTCTGCGCGAATCTGCTGTAGTGCAGCTAAGTAGGTTTAAAAGCAGTGCTGCATGAAAAATTTTTTCCTCGAAGAATCTATCCAGAACTGTAACTTATAAAAAGTATATATAAGAGCACTAACACGTTAATCGTACAAAACATATAATTTGCAAGATTTGTGGTAATGTGTATGGGGTTTACCACATATCATTATACGCAATAATGTATACATTATAGATGTGTATGTATTGATCAACAGTGTACATATATAATAATTTTGATCTGTACATTGTTCTTAGGCATTTTAGGTTTAAGTTGTTTGTCTCGCTGTGTTCTGCAGATATGCGCCTGGGCCGTGGGCCTCTTGTAGCATCTCCAGGACCCACATATTGGGCACGTAGCCACACCCATAGAGCATGCATGTTGATCCAGTAGATCACTCCTTGTTCATTCGAGTTCATAATTGATGAACTAACAGATTCCTCACAGTCATCCGAAAGTGGAGCTAACTCAGCACCGCGATATGCAGATATGCAAAGTGGTTAAGGACTCCTCGGTCGAGATGTGGCCTCTGCCAATGCTCGCGCACGCGAATGTGCTTCAACAAGAACAGTGCAGATGTGATAGCATAGATCAGATCTTTGTTATATACCGGATAAGGGAGAATCTCAGAGTAAAGGTGAGCAGCACAGTTATTTTCACTTTAGACGCTCTGCTAAACTGTAGATGCGGTAACAGTGGTTGCGCGGATGGTAGAAAAGCACTTTCACAAAAGCAGAAGGTTTGCTGTTATACATTTATCATTGTTAAACATAATCCTAAAGCGCGGTTGAGCAGGGCTAACCAGTGTACCTGTTTTCGGATTGCTGGTGATGTTTCTAGGAATCCAGTGCTGGACGAAAACACTGTTGCTGGCCAATGCGGGAGATTATATACTGCATCTATGATCTGCATTTACACATTTTTTTCTTTATTGGAGCTACTATGTCTGTTCCGTACAGCTGGAAAATCCTTCTATACTACCATATCTACTTCCTATACTTTCTCTCCTCCATTTCATTAGGTTAGATTCTATCATTTATCTCGTAATCTTGTTGTTTTATGGCACGCTTTTGCGCGTATTTAAAATAAAATGAATAAAATAAATACACGCTTCCTCTTGCCCACTGTAGGTTGAACGTCTCTGAAATGTTAAAGTGCGACCTCTGAGAAACGGAAGTTCTGTTGGACAAGGAAACACTGCTTAAAATAAAACTAGAGCTAACAGCCGTTTTGAAGTGTAGTATCAGAAATCCTAAAATTTCCATAGAGTGAACTACATAGCCATTATAAGCGAATTCATTTCAAACGACGCGTCTGGACTACTGAGGTAAGATCGGGATCGGTTCGAGCTCACTGTAAGCACTACAAAAGTCATAGGTATACATGCACCGGGCACAAGTGGTTACTGCTTTTTCAGTGTTGTGCAGTATAAAAATGAGGGGTAGCGATTTATGGTATCTCGTAGCTGCTCCTGCGTAGGGGCTGAATACCCTTCACTGAGCAGGCTTTTCAAGGGATTATCAATGGCTTCGACATTTCAGGCTCTAAGAGCCGCAAAGACACCGAAAGATTGTCCGAATGAACTATAATACCGCATTTAGTTCATGCTTGCGTTAACAGTTTCACTACACTTTATGCTGACATCCCAAGCAGACTCACTTGGGCTATTCTACACATTCTCATAAATTAGAAAAAAAAAACTATTAGGCGTGGAGAACTTGCAAGTAAAAAATCTGTTCTTCAGCAAGAAAACAAATATACAAAGAATATGCTGTAGCAAATTTACGATTATAAGTTATTCCCCTAACAAACTTTTTAAATCATTATGCGCTACATTTTGTTTCGTCACAGTTATCAAAAAGGTATTTCTTTAGACGCTCACAAATCTATACCATTACGTAACTGGAAGACTTGCCCATGTCTTGCTCATGTCCACGTCACGTTTTATAGAGAAAAATTACCTCACTGTTTTCATGCAGGAATGACCAGAAGAAGCAGTAACGGCTTCCCAATTTAGTTACAAAACTTGAGAGATGAAGAAACGGTTTTGGAAGAAGGTTTTTCCTTGCATTTAAAATATTTCGTGTATTATAGAGAAATTCAAAAGTTGATGTGTTGGTATTCTTCTGTGCCTTTCAGGTTGATAAAGAGACACTTTCTTTGCCTTATGTTTCGGCTTATCAGCCGTCTTCAGAAGGCTGAAAGTTGTCATTTGCATAGATTTGCTTCAAAAACTACAAAACACCTCTGCCAGCTCGGGTATTCGATTCATCCAGGCTAGGTTAGACTGAGGCATCGAGACGACCAATAGACTCACCCAGTGTCTCATCGATGAATACGGAGCTGAAATGCTACCGCTAACTGATGATTGCCACTGCTCGTAGAAGGAAATGAGCACATACTGAATGTTGCATGTGCTTATATAGAACGTGGGCAATATATCTACCAAAATGCCCAGGTTTTACAATGAGAGAACGTGGAACATACGTCAGAAGTTGATCTTGTAGATCAAAGTATGTTTGTTCCTGAGTACATACTAAAATTGGAACAATATAGAGAAAATTAGCGTGACCTTTGCGCAAGAATGACACTAGACTTCGTGGAACGTTAAAGATTTTTTCACTTCATCAATGCTTGCCATTCTGTTCACGCTTTCATACTCAGCTTGTTCATTTCAAGAATTGTTCAGTACCCAGTGGGGCGATATAAGTTGTGAAGGAGATGGCCATCGTCAGAGGTAGCATAATACCTACGCTTATAATGCAACCCTAGCAGTCGTAAGATCGCTACCTTTACAGTAGTGAAACATAAAAGTGAACATCATAAGTGAACAAGATAAATTGTACCGAGATGCAGTTAAGCTGTCAAATAGTGTACAACACGGGGGAGATAAATTCCTGATGCTTCTTGAAAATTGAACTGCTCCTTTATAGTATACTGTAAGGTTAATTCTGGAAATATTTTGCTATTCTGAAAACACAGTGTTTAAGGTTATCGAAAAAACCTCTCCTCCTTAGTTTGGAGTAATGGATATAGAGCAGGTATGAGGCAATGCCTTAAGATTCATACTTACTGACTTACTGACCTTTAATCTGAGTTCTTGATATATGACTCAGAAACCAATGAGGAAGTCGGCAAAGGCACGTCCTGCCATTCTAGGTTTTCTATACATATAT